CTTTCAATTCTTTCCATGGTATAGTCATCATAATGTGAGGAAGTCCTAAAATCCCATACAAATGGCACTATGAGATAACTTACATATCCCCTGAACCACACCAAAACTAATATACAACATAGCAGGATGGTCCTGATCCATCTATCATAATAAGGCTATTCCGTTGTGTTTTTTGTAGCACTCCTGCAAAGCTGGGCCAGAGAGCCAAGTATGATTCTAGGACTAAATCCCATGGAACTATCTCAGTCTCTTTAAACAGGACATTTGTTAGGACATCATAGATTGGTTCAACGTAGAAATTATACATATTGTTAGAACGCCAACTGATTTAAAACCATATTCATGGATTCTTGCTTCCACAATAGTTAACATGGAAGTGGGATTGTGCTATGTCATCCCACACTCTAGTTTCTTCAGGAACAGTACAACTGTCTACAAAAGCAAAGTCTTCAAGCATTCAGCTGTACACAGGAAAGCTTATGTGTGACTTGGCACCCTGATTGTGCAGGTTTTGTGAGTTCACCTGCATGCATGAAGGCTTCACAGCTACAGATGGTTGTGCTAGTCATGCAAAGGCAAAGGGTTGGTGTTGCTCCACACATCTCCACTCCCAATTCACCAACAAGAACGCCCAAATACCGTATTGGCCTGAATATAAGCCACACTCCCCCCCCCCCAAATTCCGACCATGAAAAGTTAAAGTGCAGATTAAATTCGCGACCTTACAAAAATTGGCTTTTACAATATTGCTGCTGAAACAGACATACGGTAAAACGGAATGTGTGCAAGTGCCTGCAGAATTTTAAGGGAGCGGCTTATATTCAGGTATTCTCTCCCCCCCCCTTTAATCTTAAAGGTGCAGCTTATTTGCGGGTGCTGCTTATATTCGGGCCAATACGGTAAGCCTCTAGGTTATTCAAAGATATCTACATCAATCTCCAATAAGGTAAGGTACTGGAATAGTGCTTTACAATAACAATAGGTATACCCACCTACTTTCAGCGAGTCAGAAATTACATTTGTGCCCTGCTTACTGAAGAATGTCACTATTCAGATCTGCAAATGGGCACTATTCATTAATTCTGAATTTACGAAACCACCACCACCAAAAAAAGAAAGATGACAACGTGTGCTCTAGAGAGAAGCAGGGCGAAGGAACAATGTACACTTTCAGCATTAAATGGGCATGACATCACTTTCTTGGCTTGCTACAATCATATATACCTTGGGGAAGGAGGGAGGAGGGAGGGGAAAGGAAAGTTAAAAACAGGGCTCTTTGTACATGTCTCAAAATGTTATATGACTCTCTTCCTTTCCTCTTAGCAAACCACAGTGAGCAACATGACATAACAAGCAACTGTTTGGTAACACAAACCAAAACAATTAGCTCAAAATAGCCTTGTTTCTGAAAAACAAGAGTAGAATTCAATAAAGGCAAGGCAAAGTTGTCTGGATTCAATCCAAGTTGCGCACAGAACAATAGCTTACAACCAGTATATAATGTTCATCTTCATATATAAATATACTGTATCTGGATTCATCTATATAAATTAATTTTGCATCTCTTCTTTAATTCACTGAGCCAAAGACTGGAAGCACATTTAACTGTACAGGGAGCGGGTGAAATTCACACTGATCAAGTCATACCACTCCAAAGAAATGAACCTATTTACAACTGGAAATTTTGACATGCTGATATTGCAATTGTTAATGCTTCTGACACCCAAAGTCACCACTCTTCACAGTAGTAGTAGTAACAGCAGCAGCAGCAGCATGAACAGGCAAATCCAGATTATATAATAAATTACAGATTAATCAATTAACATGGTGTTGACATGCAAAAGGCTTGCTACTGGCAGTACATGAAGAAGAGCCTCAAATGATGACTGCAAAGTCTGGGTCAATTTATATGGGGAGAGGCAGACCTTGAGGAATTGTAGTCCTCAGCCATTTAAGGCTTTATAGGTCAAAACCAGCACTTTGAATTGGGCCTGGAAACTAATTGGCAGCCAGCAAGGTCAGGCAGGATTGGTGTAATATGATCAAACCGTCTTGTTCCAGTGAGCAACCTAGCTGCCAAATTCTGTACCAGCTGAAGTTTCCTAACTGTCTTCAGAGGCAGCCCTATGTATAACACAGCAATCTAACCCAGAGGTTACTAGAGCATAGACAACAGAAGTTAGGCTATACCTGTCCAGGTAGGGGCACAGCTGGGCCACCAACCAAAGCTGATGGAAGGCACTCTGTGCAACTGAGGCCACCTGAGCCTCAAGTGACAGCAAAGGATCCAGGAGTATGTCCAAGCTTTGTACCTGTTCCTTCAGAGGGCATGTAACCCACCAATCAAGAGCAGGCAACCACCCACTCATGTGATCTAGGGAACCACCCACTAACAATACCTAGGTCTTATCTGGATTGAGCTTCAGTCTGCTGACTCTCATCCGGTCCATTACTGAAGAAAGACAACAGTCTAGCACATCCATTGCCACACCTGCAGATATAAAGAAGAAGGAGAGCTATGTGCCATCGGCACATTACTGACAATGTACTCCAAAACTCTGAATGACCCCACTCAGCGGTTTCATGTAGATGTTAACTAGCATAGGGGATAAAATTGAGCCCCAAGGAACTCCACATTGAAGACTGAAAAGCACTCCCCAAGCATCATCCTCTGGGAGTAACCATCCTAGTAGGACCAGAACCAGTCCAAAGCAGTGCCACCTACCCCAAACTCAAACACATGCTCCAGAAGGATACTATGGTATCAAAAACTGTTGAGAGGTCGAGCAGAATTAACGAGGACATATTTCCCCTGTCATTCTCCCTACAAAGGTAATCCCAAAGGGCAACCACAGCAGTTTCTATGCCAAAACCAGGCCAAAATCCCAACTGAAATGGACCTGCAAGATTACTATTACTTCTACTTCTCTGAGGTGCTTCCTGTTTTCACTTCCTAATTTAGCACCACAATCGCTATGGAAACCGACATCTGGAATAATGAACTTACCTTGTAAATTTGCCTATCAGGTAAGACATTGGCTGTTGTGGTCATTCACCCTAGCCCAGCCTTCCCTAGCTTTATGTCCTCTAGATGTTTTGAACTACTTTTTTCAGAACTTTTCAGGTCTCAGTGGACCTGAGAAATGCTTGAGTGATTTACAGTAGCATACTATTAAGTTGAAATAAATTAAAAAATTTAAAAAATCTCCAGAAGCACCTTGGAGACCAATTAAGTTTGTTCTGGGTACAAGCTTTCGTGTGCATGCACACTTCTTCAGATATCAGAAGCATCTCAGAGAAGTAATAGTAATCATGCAGATCCATTTCAGTTGAGGTTTTGGCCTGGTTTTGGCACAGATATCTGAAGAAGTATGCATGGTGGTTCTGATTTATCACTAAAAAGTGGGTTTTCCCTTGGAAGGGAGTGGGGCAAGAGGGAAACTGCTTGTACCCATGTCTAGAAAACGTGGATCAAGCAGAAAAGCACTTGGACCTGTGCTTTCTAGGCACAGCACAAGTGGAAGTGTGGAATCAGCCCTTAGTGGGTAGTGAATATATGCAAGGTTCGGACATATTGGCTGCAGGTGTTGTCTGAGCTGATATTCTGAGGAGAGGAAGCAAACTCAAATACAGTGTAGCTCAGAGCTTTCCAAACTTTTCAAGTTGGTGACACACTTTTTAGACATGCATCATTTCGCAACACAGTAATTCAGTTTTGCATCATTTCACAACACAGTAATTCAGTTTTACTAGCAAACCAGAGGTTAAACTAACCCTTTCCAGCCCCTGGAGGAGTGTGGGGAGCATTTGTGCGACACACCTACACACTGCAGCCATAACACTAACGTGTCATGACACACAGTTTGGAGAGCTCTGGTGTAGCTGATACAGTGACAGAGTGATTGGGGGAAATGGAGTAATTGAATTGCTGGTGAATACCAACCCTCCTTCCTTGCTGCCTTGGAACAGTTAGGAAAGACCACACATGATTCTGAGATGGCATTCCTGTAGAAATACTTTCAGAGGGTGGTCATGTAATTACGTCCTTTCTAAGTTTCTCTGTGCAGCGCCTTCTCGTTTATATGTTCAGATGTTTCTGCTAGAAGCAATCCTATAAATCAAAAATCCCTTAAAGCAACATATTTTGAAAAGGCAATTCCATCTCCTTATGAATGCTCCAGTGTTTTAAACTTCTGATGTATATAATTATAAGTTAGGACATCTCTGCTGAAAAAGAAACCCTAATAAGAAGGAAAGCCAAGGTGCCATAGGCTTTATGATGTCAACATGGCTCAAGAATGCGTTCCACTTTTCTGCAAATGCTCTGCAGCAAAGGTTTTAAAGGGAGATTTTTCTGGTGGTTTAAGAACATTGTGCAAAGCTCTTTTCAAATCCATACATGAAAACATTCACCACCCAAAGTTTAATTATATGTTTCATGTTTGTAGCACATAATTCTACAACTGTTGCAATAAGGCTTACACAAATCAAATATTGATCTGCTTAGAAAGCCAAAAGGCATTTCCCAAACAACAAGGAACATTATAGCCAAATCAGTTTTTACTCCAATGATTTTTTTGTTAGAGTGAGCAAAACCAGGCTTCAATATTCCATCCAATAAGGGTTGGGGGGGGGGAGAGACACTGACTATGTCAGCTTTTCTCAAGCTGTGGGTCCCCAGATGTTGTTGAACTACAACTCCCATCACATCTAACTAGCAAGGCCAGAGCTCAGGGATGATGGGAGTTATAGTCCAACAACATCTGGGGACCTACAAGTTGAGAACCGCTGGACTATGTAGTTAAATCCTACAATTTCATCCCTAAAGATGCCCATTTATGGAGGCAGCAGGTTTAAACCCCTTTGATCAGGGAATGTGTAAATGGCAGATTGGTGGACTACTGGACAGTTTCTGGTGAAGAACCTAATAAGTGTTAGCTTTTGTTTTTTACAAATACAGTCCTATCTCGAAAGTTGAATGGAATCCGTTCCGGAAGTCCGTTAGACTTCCAAAATGTTTGGAAACCAAGGCACGGCTTCCGATTGGCTGCAGGAGCTTCCAGCAGCCAATCGGCTTCCAGCAGCCAATCGGAAGCCGTGCCTTGGTTTCCAAACATTTTGGAAGTCTAACGGACTTCCGGAACGGATTCCATTCAACTTTCGAGATACGACTGTATTTGTAAAAAACAATAGCAGCCAATCGGAAGCCACAGAAGTCACGTCAGACGTTCGGGTTCCAAAGAACGTTTGCAAACAGGAACACTCACATCCGGGTTTGCAGCAAAAAAAAAAAAAAAAGGATTTGGGATACAGTGGTACCTTGGGTTACATACGCTTCAGGTTACAGATGCTTCAGGTTACAGACTCCGCTAACCAAGAAATAGTACCTCGGGTTAAGAATTTTGCTTCAGGATGAGAACAGAAATCGTGCTCCGGTGGCACGGCAGCAGCAGGAGGCCCCATTAGCTAAAGTGGTGCTTCAGGTTAAGAACAGTTTCAGGTTAAGAACGGACCTCTGGAACGAATTAAGTACTTAACCTGAGGTACCACTGTACAAGGTATGACTGTAATGCTTGGTCTGACCTAGCAAGGCCATGCCTTGGTGTTAGCTCAGAATCACCTAACACATATTCATGTCTTAATTGTTAAGAGAGCCTGAATATGTACTCTTGTTTTGCAAATTTAAAACATACAAGTGGCCAGTGCACATTCTAGAAAAATATGGAGACTGACTGAGATTGAAATCAGCCCACTTCTCTCTTAAATTGGCTCATGTTGAGGAAAACATTAAGAGAATGGGACAAATGATAGTGAATTAAAAATGAGACATCTTTCAGAGATACTGTCGTTTTTAAATAGTTTTTCTGTTCCCTTTCTCTCCTGCATATCACTACCCTCAGACGGTCATTGCTTTCTTATTTGTTAGTCTGTAACACGTGGCTTACATAAACATTCCCTCTTGATATCCTACCTTATAGTACATGGATATTTTATTATTGCTTTGAGATTCATAAGCATTGTTTCAAAAGACAGTAAATAAGTAATAAATGCAAAGAGATACTCCATATACCAAAGTTTGACTCAAGTTGCAGCATCAATGCAACAAGTTTGTTATTCTTTGTAAACTTGCAGCTGCCATTTCTACTGCCAACTCTCAACTTAGTTTCTGCTCCTCTCATCCCTTCCTCCCCACACACATACTTTGCTCTGACAGAATGAAGAATAACTCCTCATGTTCTCATTTCCTGATCTGGAAGTTAATCTAATAGCATATGGATAGTAAAGGCTATATAATGTTATTTATTTTACATTCCAGTTTTGTGTGTCTTTACTGTATAAAGCATACTCCCAAATAAGTGTATATTGCAGCCTTAGACAAATATCATATGTAAGCAAACATACTTATTGGAATATTGGAATCATTTGGGAATTTCTATGAAAATTCAGTGTGCTCCCCATCTTCCAGCCTGAAGACACACATAGGCTTAGGGGTGGTTTAGGTGATCTTCTCAAATGGAAGATGGACCTGCTTAATTTATGTGGCTCAGGTTGCTGTTGAAGACACAGAGTCCCAGGGCCATAAAAATACTGGCAATCCTACTTATAGCTCCCTTATGATACAGTCACAGACTTTTCTTTGATGCTCTGGTTTAAAAGAGAATCCAGATTATTATAGAAAATTATTCCTGTTCATTGTAAGAGAGCTATCAGATAGCAAGCAGCAGCTGGTGCTCTGGTTCTTTAGAACGCAAAACAAAAAAATGAAACATTTTGTCATTTACCTGACAGAAGGCAAGAGAAAAATAATTACTGTTTACCCAATTCTCATCTGCAAAGGAAAGCTAACTTTGTCCTCTGTTGTCATGCAGAGACAAAATACTCAAACATTTTCACCTTCTTGCAAAAGATCTACTTACCTTTTAGCAACATTTCACAGCTCATGGCAAAAGAGTGCAAAACCGATCAGAAGTGGGCATGCATCAGGAAAATAGTTAATATTCTCCCATTGCCAAAGCAACCAGACTGATCCTTCCATGACCAGCATTTGTTGCATGTGATTGACTAGTTGGTCCAGAACAACACCAACACCAGCGAAGATAATTTTATTATTTATATGCCATCCATGTGATTCGGTTGCCCCAGCCACTCAACGAAGTATTAAAACAGTACTTAGATGCACATGCAAATGCAGACCTCGTCCACCCAAACTGCATTACACTCGTTAGGTTATGCATTTTCATCCACAATTGCTCCAACTAGTCATGTTTAATAAATGCATTATTAAACATTACAGATAGTTTTATGCAGGGGTCTTTCCATGCAACAGCAAAACAGGGAGTGTTAGCCTGGGCAATGAGGGTACATTTCCTCTTACAGAGAGAGTTTTAACTGACCTCAGTGATACTGTCACATAGTCAACTAGACCTCTGATTGGATGGGATCATGTAGTGATTAATCCCTTTCATAATGCTTTGCGAAAGTACCTAAGCTGGGAAGCAATTGCTGCAAACAATCACAGAAAACTATGAAATGTGGATACATGAACTTTTTTTCATGACTATCGCTTTCTCAGGTGCATCTGCTCAGAAGAAAGTCACACTGAACAAAACGAGACTTTCTCCCCCATATATGTGCACAGACTACAGCCTTAAGAAGATTCAGTTCCAGCAGAGAACAGTGAGCAGAAATACAAAACGTAAGAAAAAATGTGGCTGCGGTTATATATGTAGCTCTCGCTGACCAGTTAAATGCACAATATGCACACAATACACTCAAAATTGGTCAGTTAGGAGAGAGACGGCAATAGAACATTTTCTTAATGAAGAGAATTGTCCTACAATAATAACCCTTACGGGAGCTGGTTTGCTTTTCGACTGCAGTTTCCACTCAAGAGTATCCAAATGCTCTGAATTAAGATTCATTATACACTAATAAGGTTGTCATCAAAAGGGCGTAGAGTTTAAGTGACTGGTCTGTGACTTGTGGCTAATCTAAAATTGAAGCCAGATGCCAGGTATATCTTTCCTGAAAAGGAAAATTCACTTTTAAAAACCACTTGATAATAAGTCAGCTGCAGACATGCCAATTCCTAGGCCGCCTTAATATTTGCTGGCAGGGGGTTGGGCTCCCTCAATGTTGAGGGGGCAGAGGAGGCTGAGCATGGAGTGGTTCAGTGACTGGCTCCTCCTGAGCGTGAGAGAGAAAGCTGTGCAGCTCCTCCCAATGCTGTGATGTCGAGAGTGCATCGTGCATATGATGTCACACACATGTGACAAGCAGCATGTATGTGACACATGCTGCCCCCCCCAATATTGGGTGCAAGATAGCGCCTCTGGTCAGCTGTGTATGAATAAAAATAGAATAAAAATACACTCTCAAAGAACTGGCCTGCTGAACCTTCTTTGAGGCTTTTCAGACAAGTCCTTTAAAGCAGTGTCAGTCTGTGTCATGTCCATCTCAGCGCATACCGGTGAACTTATTTTGACAGTGTTTCTCCAAGCATATCATTCTGTTATTCCTGGTAGTCGCGGCTGATCCTAAATTGTCCAGACAACCTGTTTATTGAACATTCATCCTGACTGGCTTGCACAAAGCTTACACACGTTATATGATGGTTTCCTTTTATTGAGCATTTGTTCAGGTGCCTATGGCTGTATCGAGATTAAATGGCTGAAAAGCAAGCAATGTTTTCTAAGCGCATTTGTTATGGTCATTTTACTATTTATAGCTCATAATAACTTCTGTACAGCCACCCATTTTGCTTCAAAAAAGAGAGAGAGAAGGATTGAAATGAACATACTTGTTTTAATGGCTGTACCAACAACAACCTAGTAGCAGTGGAAGAAGGTACACAGAGTGGAGTCACTGCTGGGCAGCCCCTCGGTGCTGCACTGTCAGGGACTGGAGTGAGGAAAAATGGTGGAGACCACCTCCCCCTCCTCCTAAACCTTCCTGAGAAGAGGAAGACAGTATAGATTTATAACAGTGGTTTGCAGAAGGTCACAGCTCAGAGATAGGAGAGGGACAAAGCTGGGAAATAATGGGAGAAGAGGAGGGGGGAGAAACAGAGCCGGAGCAGTTGGCTGACACGTTATCATTAGAAAGCATGCCAGACCCCCCTTCGCCCAGAACCTGGCGAGCAGTAAAAGTGGGAAAGGTAAAAGCTAAGAAACAAATGGCCTTAAGCAGCCACCGTAAAGGGGGGGGGGAGGTGCTGTTGATGACTGAGAAGGGAAGGGGAGAGGAGATTACTCAGAGCAACACAATTATTCCAAGAGGCAACATTTCTAAACCTCTCTCTGTGAATATTGAATGAACGACATTGGTAAGAGCTTTGTCTATCTATTACTGGCAGCCTGCCATGGGGGGTGGGGACAGCTTTCCTGAAGCCTGACATGCACACAGAGTGGGGCAAGGTGGTGCTCTAGCTCGCAGTAGGCGGAGAGAGAAGCGGCTGTGGGATGGGATTCTGCGAAGTCGCTCCAAGGGAGGTGGGCAGTGAGCAGAGCTACAACTTACAGCCATCACTGCTGGGCAGCACCTTCTGATGAATGCAGCCACACCCAGGCTCCACCAAGCAAGCAAGCTCATCGGGGAACAAGAGATTTCTGAGCCTCATGCTCCTTTGGCATCTCTCTCATGCGGGGTGGGGTGGAGGGGCAGAAGAGAGAGTGGGGAAAACACCCCCTTGGTGCTACTTGAATTACTTGAAATTGACACTTGTGAAAAGGGCTACCATATGTTGGGATTTTCCCAGACATTTTGCCGATTTATTTTTTTAAAATCCCCCCCCCGACCTTAAATTCCCAGATGTGTCCAGGAAAACCCAGACATATGGCAGCCCTACTTTACACCTCACACCCCTCCTCTCCCCACACCTTCCCCAAACCTCTCCACCACCTCCCCTCACAGTTCACCTTCAAAGAGCAAGATGCCTAACTCCGTCCCCCAACTGTTAAACTTCACAGCAGCCACAGAATAGGACCTGAATGATACACCAAATATTCCAAAGCTCACCAAATATTCCAAACTTCTCACAACTGCACCAGAGAGAAGGGAGCATGCAAGTCCAAGGTCATTGTAACTATGCTGCTAATGGTTGTTTTTTAGTATGCCGCTGCTGTGT